ACACACACACACACACACACACACACACACACACACACACACACACACACTGTCATAAAAAGTGGGGCGCATGCACTCACCAGTATATTTAATATTTTCTCCAAAAGCCTCATATAAATATCTGCCTGTTAGTCAAACATTATCATCAGTTTTTATTTTTATTTTTTAACTTTTCTTTCTTTTGTATTTGTGACTAAACCTGTTTTCCACCTTATAACTAAGAACAACAGGTGSGGAGGAGGACAGCTGTCTTCAGTCCATCTCAGACCCCTGCTGGCAACTCTTAATTATTCTTAAATTATTCAAACTGTGTTCTAGGATGTTACCTCTCTAATATCTACACTTTTCTTGTTGCTCATCGTAATTTTCATCTCTCCTTTTTAATAAGAGGGATCCTGGTCCTTTTTTTAATTTAAATCTCCAGATTGTTATGAGCACATGGGCTGTGTTTATCTTAGGGGAAACCTGATTGGATAGCCTCACCGTAGACGCGTCCATTTCACCGCCTAGTTGCTTCGTGATTGGATATCCGTGAACAGACCCGCCCATTTACACGCCTAAGTGGTTTCTGATTGGACAATCGAGTCTCTGCTCATGTCTTCCCACCGCTCGCGAACCGCTCGAACGGCACCGCACTGCCTCATGGGAGATGTCGTTTTCTTTGTGATGCGTGACGCTGTGAGCAGCGGTTCAAACACTACAACTCCCAGGCAAAGAGCAGGGACGGCGGAGTCTCTCAAACACAAACAGAACTTTGGTTCATTTGGTTCGGAAAAGTCCAGTAACGGAGAAATGGCTGACGGAACGTGAGTAGTGCACTCTCTTTTTTTGGCTGACGAAGCTAAAGTCACTATTATGTATAAATTAACCAAACTGAGCCACTTTATCAACTGTATTGAAAATAATTTCATTCATAAAGCAGTAGTTTTAGTAGTCCAGCTTTGGGTCCTGAAGAGACAGAGCTGTTCAGACTCCCACCAAAATAATAATAAAATAAAGTTTTATCTGGACTCAGAACTGCTGTTAAATTAAAATAAAAATGATAATTTATGTGTTGTTGCATTTAAATAATTTAAAGAATTGGATCAAAAGCTGATTTTTTTCCATCTGTGCTTCCTTTTTTGTTGCAGGCACCTGCGGAGGCGAGGTGGGCCTTATAAAACCGAACCGGCCTCAGACCTGAGCCGCTGGAGACTAACCTCGGTGGAGGGCAGGCAGACCTGGGACTATGTGGAGGACCGGGACCCCCCTGGCAGAGAGCAGACCATGCTGGAGGCTCATTCCCTGGGCTTGGACACTGTAGGTCTTTGCTTGTTTCTTATTTTTCAGGTTTTTTTTCCTCTCAAATAACAGTTGGTGAAATTTCTCCCCACAGAGCAAGTTTGCTCCTGACTCCCCGGCTGCAGAAACTGCTCAGGATGCAGCTTTGAAAGGCATGAGGTTCTACAGTCGCCTCCAGGCAGAGGATGGTCACTGGGCGGGGGACTATGGTGGACCCCTCTTCCTGCTCCCAGGTGCAGCTTTCATTCTTACTGAAAAACCCTTAAAGAAGCACTTTAAATAAATTGTATTGTTCATACTTCCTAGGTCTCCTCATCACGTGTCACGTGGCGAGGATCAGCCTACCTGAGGTGTGGAGGAGGGAGATGGTGAGATACCTGCGCTCAGTCCAGCTGCCAGACGGTGGCTGGGGTTTGTAAGTCCGGGTCCAAAGTGTCCAACAACAGCCGAATATGACGGGACATTAATTAAGACAGCCATGTTTGGTTCTCTTCAGGCACATCGAAGATAAGTCCAGTGTGTTCGGAACGGCGCTGAGCTACACCTCGCTCAGGATCCTGGGAGTGGATCCTGACGACCCGGATTTGGTCCGTGCTCGGAACAACCTGCACAGCAAAGGTGTGACCGCTGACAGCTGACTGCTCTGAAGAAGCTGAAACTGAGCTGTAACGGCTAAAAACACCAGAGCTCTCACCTCAAAGCTAGAAAAGCAATAAATCAGCTAAAAGCAAAAAGGACCAGAACACATTAAACACTTGCTAAGAGCAGAAAGTAAGCTAAAAATACCAATACTAAAGCCAAAAATTGTAACAGGGTAGGTAGCAAAACACTAGCTGTAAGTAGCAAATTTAATGCTATAAGTGCCTAAAGGCTAGCTAAATGCATAAAAATGTAACAAATCCAAAAGCTGAAAGTAGAAAACTTAATGCTATAAGTAGCCAAAGGCTACCTAAAAGCTAAACGCATAAAAATGTAACATATCCGAAAGCTAAAAGTAGCAAAACACCAGCTTGAAGCAGAAAAAAATGTAAGCTAAACGTACCAAAGGGCTACAAAAGTTAAAATAACAAGGTTTATACAGGTAGCAAAAACATATATAAGTGTGAAAATGCTAGCTAAATGCATAAAAACACAACATAGCTAAAAGCTGAAAAATGATAGCTCAGAGCTGAGAATAGCAAAAAAGCTAGCTAAAGTCATTCATTTATCAATTTTCTTACCCACTGCAGTGACTGATGCTATCACTACGAGAGGAGTGGGACACTTGGACAGGTCATCCGTCCATCACAGGGACACGGAGACAAACGAGACACAATCATTCATAGTCTCACTCACATCTAGAGACAAATCAAAGTTTAATTTGTGGCTGAAAGCTCTAACCGCTGCGCTGAATGCTATGAAACTCTCCCTCTTATCGTAGCAGTATTTAATGTTTCTGCCTGTGCTCGGCTTGTTTTAGGCGGTGCAGCCGGGATTCCATCGTGGGGTAAATTCTGGCTCGCTATTTTAAACGTCTACAGCTGGGAGGGCATGAACACATTACTGCCAGAGATGTGGTAGGTCCTCCTCCACCTGCTTGGAAGATAAATCAATCAATCCATAAACAGCCTGGATGGTTTTAGATCTTTTTCTAACATCAACATTATTCATCAGATCAACCTGGGGTCGCATTTCCTCTTGCGTCCACGCAGAGTCAGCTGGTAATGTTAGTGATTCTTTAGTTTGTTTGGTTTTGCCCAGACACATTGTTCCATCCATCCAATCCATTTTTTTAGCCAGCCCTCGTGACATGAAGCTGCTTGGAGATGATTTTGTAGCCTTTACCTCTAACATGGGGTATTTAACCTGTAATCCTTCTGAAAAGTGGGAGGGGGCGGGACTGTATTTGTGACCATACTATATGGATGTTGTTCCCCTTTCGACTTCAACTTCCAGGATCTCAAATGGTGTTCATCTCTAACACGAGCTGATGCTGTTTCAGCTCGAGCATATTTTCCTCTCTGTGTGTTTCAGGCTGTTTCCTGATTGGATGCCAGCCCATCCCTCAACCCTGTGGTGCCACTGTCGGCAGGTTTATTTACCCATGAGCTACTGCTACGCTGTCAGACTGACCGCAGAGGAAGACCCTCTAATCCTCAGCCTCAGACAGGTGATTCAGCTTCTGTGGAGCGACCCAGAATTTAGAACAGTGGGCCAGGGCCTCATGCAAGAACATGTTCGTATTCTTATCCTACATTTCTCTTACTTTTGTTCGTACGAAGGGTTCGTACAAACATGTCACGTCAGATTCAACAAACTCTTCTATCTTCAGGAAACGTGTGTAAATGAGCTGCGTAAACTGATGAATGTGTATCAGCTGATCGTGCACAGGGAGAGGAGATTAGCATAATCACCACCCTAGAAACACCATATAAGGATATATGTTTCCTGCCACACATACCAGGAAGTGTCCATTCATAAATGACATCACAAAGTAAAAGAAAAACTTTACAAGTTCGAAGATTGAAGTTCTGCTCTCAGAGATCCACAAAAGGAARTCTGTCATTTTTAGCAGCATCAGCTGTGGAATTAAAGGAGCTGCTAAAGCTGAGGAATGAAATGTGCTGTTAATGTCGTGTCTCCTGTGGGACGTACACTCTAGTCCTGCTCTGGTTTTTTTTTTTTGGTAAAATATTCTTAATTTAAGTGTAAACAAAAGCATAATTTAAGTTGGTTTTTAGGTTGAGATCTCCATATTAATATTGTAGTGTTATACAACAGCATTAATAGCCAATTTAATTTAATCCAACCAAAATCTAATTCCAAATATTGTCAACATAATTATGGAGTGTGATTTATTTTCAACTCAAAATATCKTCAAACTAATGAAATATAAAGTTATTAGGGAGGAAAACCCGTCTGGATAACAGCAGACTGACTGCTGGTAAAATATACGACAGGTCTGGACCACTCCTGAATTTTGTTCRTATCTGAAAGAAATCTTGAAAAAAAATTGGTGAAAGATTTTTTTTCTTGACATTTTGTTCTAAATTTGGCAGTTTATGAAGCATTATCACCCAACGTATTGTAATTTTGGAGTAATATTTATGGCCTGCTGCCAAAGACGTGCAGAAAAACAAGTAACTGCACAGCACGTGCCCACCCCGACTTCACACTTACTTTCCAACTCGACCCTGTGACTACTTCCCTTGGTGGCTCAGAGGCATAACAGCAGCAGGGGAAATATTTCATGAACCACTCCTTGGATTTTAATAAAACTGACAGAAATGTTCCTGTGGATGTTGATCCACATCTGGTTACTGTTACGAGTCAAATCAGTTAATTAACAGCTAATTTATCTTAGCGAAGAGAAAAGTTGCTSTAATTTGGTCGATTTTACYASATGTTGAGCTAAAATTTAACATGCTTTAATATTTTTTTATAGATAGATTTATGATGTTTGTCCTTCAGGAGCTGTATGTCCAGGACTACGACACCATTAACTGGCCCGCTCAGAAGAACAACGTGGCAGCGTGTGACCTGTACACGCCTCACAGCACGCTGCTGACGGCCGCCTACAGTAMGTACATTTTAATCACAGGTTTCCTCTGCTCCCTCTCCCATCACTAACACCTGTTTGTTATCCTATAGTGTTATTAAACCTGTACGAAGCCCACCACAGCGCCACGCTGAGGGAAAAGGCCGTCAAAGAGCTGTACGAGCACATCCAGGCCGATGATCGCTTCACCAAATGTATCAGTATTGGACCGGTAATAACACTTTACTGGACCACAATGGAAATAAGAGTTTTCACTAAGTAATTTTATTTTATGAACCTTTAATATACGGATGAACATATATTATTTACTAAATAAACTCAAATCAAACTTAGATAAAATACACATTCAYGGGACAAACCTTGTCTAAAACACCATAAAATAAAACAATAACTCAAGAATGCTGGGAGCTGAATGACTGCCGAAGAAGATGAAACTAAGCTGATTAATTTTAAACAAGAAAAACACAAGTTAGAAAGTGCAGCAGGATAGCTTAAAGCTAAAAGAAGCAGAACAGCAAAAAGCACAGACAGTGCGAAGATTAACAAATCAAAGGCTTATGCTAAAGTTAGCAAAAATTATTTTCTGCAAAAATGCTGAAGCTGAGCTGAAAGCTAAATGAGGCAACGTTTTATTTATTAGCCAAAAGTATCAAATAAAATTTAAAAATAACACTAGCTAAAATAAGAAAAATGCTATCAAAACCTCCAAAGTAGCAAACTGTTAACTACAGAAAAGAAAATGCTAACTAAAATGCTAAAAGCCAAAAGTTGCAAATGTGTAGCTAAAACATCAAGGCATAAAAATGCTAACATTGCTGAATGACTGTGCCAAAATTTGCTGAAGAAGCTGAAGCTGAGCTGAAAGCTAAATAAAGCAAAATAACTAGTGGCCAAAAGTAGCAGCTACAAGTTAGAATTAATATAAACATTAGCTAAAAGAACAAAAATGCTATCAAAACAAAAAAGAAGCMGTCTAAGTACAAAAYGCTAGCTAAAAGTAGCAAATGGCTAGCTAAAACCTTAAGTTTGCAAAAAGCTAGCTAAACACTAAAAGTAACAACACTGAAAACTAAAAGTAGCCAAGATGCTACTTAAATATTTGCAAGATGTTAGCTTTTAACTAAAATGAGCTTTGGTGGAATTAGCATCAGCAGTATTAGCATCAGCTGTAGCAGTTGATTAGCTGAAGTAGATTTTAAAGAACTAAAGATTTGAAGAGATCTAAATGTAATTTAATATTTTAATAGTATAAAAGGACTGGTCTCCTAAACGAGCCGAACATTTTGCTGAATCAGCGTTCACCACATGAAGTTTGACCGATCTTTACAGATCTCAAAGACCATCAACATGCTGGTGCGTTGGTACGTGGAGGGGYCGTCCTCTGCAGCGTTTCAGGAGCACGTCTCTAGGATCCCAGACTACCTCTGGTCCGTCAGATTCTCTCCAAAAGCACCAGTCTTTGCACAAAAAGTAAACAAAAAGCCAAATTTTAACGACTAATTTTCTGTGCTGCAGGTTGGGATTGGATGGAATGAAAATGCAGGTGAGGATCTGTTTTTATTTAAGCAGCAATAATTTCAAATAGACAGAATTAATTTCCTTTAATCCTTGATTTGATTCTTCAGGGAACAAACGGCTCTCAGCTCTGGGACACTTGTTTTGCTGTTCAGGCTTTTCTCGAGGTAAGGTTGAAACGAGCAGCGGCTCAGCTCTCTCAGCGGTTCTGCAGCTGGAGGCTCAGCAGCTTTGTTTTGGGGATTTGTTTCAGGCTGGAGCCCAGAACGACCTGAACCTGTCCGAGTGTCTTCAGGAGGCGCATCGATTCCTCACACTCACACAGGTGCAGCAGACTCACACTTTGTTTAACGAGAACAAACACAAGCTGATGTCTAACTCCTGCTTCCTCTCAGATCCCAGAGAATCCTCCGGATTACCAGAAATACTACAGACAGATGAACAAGGTACCAGCTTCACTTTCACTCTGATGCTTGAGTAGGTTGCTGATGTGTTGCTTGTCTCTGTGCGTCAGGGAGGATTCCCCTTCAGCACTCGTGACTGCGGCTGGATTGTGGCCGACTGCACAGCCGAAGGCCTGAAGTCAGTGATGCTGCTGGAGGAGCTCTGTCCCTCCATCAGGCAGCGCTTTACCCCCGAGCGCCTGTTTGGTCCTGTCAACGTGGTGAAACTGCAGAACTCAATACTTCTTTCATAGCTACTGTCGTCTTCTGCTACTTTTACATTTTAGCTCCTGTTCTGATTCTTTTAGTTGATGAACATTTTGCTATTTTTAGTTAATTTTAGCTATGTTTTAGCTACTTTTTAGCTATTCTGATTCTTTTAGTTAAACATTTTGCTCCTTTTAGTTAATTTAAGCTACTTTTTAGCTATTCTGATTCTTTTAGTTGATGAACATTTAGCTATTTTTTGTTAATTTTAGCTACTTTTTAGCTATTCTGATTATTTTAGTTGAACATTTTGCTCCTTTTAGTTTATTTTAGCTACTTTTTAGCTACTTTTTAGCTATTCTGATTCTTTTAGTTGAACATTTTGCTCCTTTTAGTTAATTTTAGCTACTTTTTAGCTATTGTACAGATTATTTTAGTTGATGACCATTTTTCTCCTTTTAGCTCTTTTAGATAATTTTTAGCTGTTGTTCTGCTGTTAATAACCATTTTCCCCTTTCAGCTGTCTTTTAGCTAATTTTTAGCAACTGTTCTGSTTTTAGTTAATAACAATTATGTTCCTTTTAGCTATCTTTTAGCTAATTTTAACTACTGTTCTGCACCTTTTACCTTTCAGGCACTGTTCACTAGCATTTTACAAATTTGAGCTTTTAGCTGTTATTTAGCAAATGTTATTCTTTTAGCTCTGATTTAGCTTATTTAGGCTTGTATGTGCCATTTTTCAGTTTTCAGTCATGTTCTGCTTGTTTTAGCTTCAACAACTTTCTTTTAGCTTTTAAATACTTTTGGCAAATTTTAGTTTTTCATCTCTAGTTTAGCTAATTTTAGCTTTTAGATCCAATTTGTATAACTTTAGCTTTGTTCTGCTTGTTTTAGCACTCAGCATCTGCTCTTCATTTTAGCAGAAAATGACGTTTCTCTCCTCTTGTTCTGTTTTCTTGTTTCCCTTTTCTCCCCGTCACATGTCGGCCGCTGTTCTTTAGCTGCTGAGCATGAGAAACAAAGATGGCGGATTCGCCACGTATGAAACTAAGAGAGGAGGAAGACTGCTGGAGATGCTCAACCCCTCCGAGGTGTTTGGTGAGTCAGTTAGCAGCCGGTTCAGAGAGGAGGAGGAATATGTGCGTCCTTTTAAAAAAGTTCTTCTGTGTGTCTGCACCAGGTGACATCATGATAGATTACACCTACGTGGAGTGTACCTCGGCTGTGATGCAGGCGTTGAGTCACTTCCAGAAGTCCTACCCTGATCATCGCTCTGAGGAGATCAGGTACACGACACACAGGGTTTCAGAGTCCCTCTTACAGTTTAAGAAAATGATTTATTTTCCTCCAGCTGCACTCTGAGAGAAGGTCTGGAGTTCTGCAGGAGGGTGCAGAGACCTGATGGATCCTGGGAAGGGTAAGTGGATCTGTGTTTTACCCCCTGATAACTAACAGGTCTCATGAGTCCTGCTCCCCTCCTCCTCAGGTCCTGGGGGGTCTGCTTCACGTACGGAACCTGGTTCGGCCTGGAAGCCTTCGCCTGCATGGGTCACACTTACCAGAATGAGTAAGAGCAGCAGAGAACGTGTTGRAGAACGTCTGGGTTCTCCTGAAGCAAACACACTGAAGGAGTCTGATCCTCTCTCTGTAAGCAGGGAGGTGCCTGAGGAGGTGCAGAAAGCTTGTGGCTTCCTGTTGGAGAGGCAGAGGTCAGACGGAGGCTGGGGGGAGGACTTTGAGTCGTGTGAGCAGCGCCGCTACATCCAGAGCAGCACCGCTCAGATCCACAACACCTGCTGGGCTTTGCTGGGACTCATGGCTGTCAGGTGAAGCTTTGGGCGTCGTACCAACACCTGCTTCCTGTCACACTCTGTCCAGGCTGGCTTTGGCTCAGGAGTCAACAAATGAAACCAACATCTAACCTCTTGTGTTGAAACAGACATCCTGAGCAGCAGGCCGTCGAGAGAGGAGTTCAGCTGTTGATTGACAAGCAGCTGCTGAACGGAGACTGGCCTCAGGTCAGTTACCAGCTTTAACTCTGATTACTTTCATCCAGACATTGTAAAGTCAACTTTTCTTCTTTTTTTTTAAAGGAAAACATCTCAGGTGTGTTCAACAAAAGCTGTGCCATCAGTTACACCTCCTACAGGAACGTCTTCCCCATCTGGACCCTGGGCCGCTTCTCCAGGCTTTACCCAAACCACCCGCTGGCTGGGCAGCTGCAGCTGTGAGGAACTGCTGAAAAGCATCAAACTGAGCTCTGCTGGTCTGACTTTTCTTCTATACTCATTGTTTTCTCACCGGTACGTGAGGTTAGGCAGACTTGCTAAATCCTAATTTTATTTCGACACAGTGCTGCCATCTAGTGTAATAATTAGCCTCTCTGGCTGCTAAAGGAGACCAGGAAGTTTTAAATCTGTTTAACTAAAACAACAGTTTGAAGGTGTTGTTATACTGACATACAATGATTTTATTTTGAACATAATCTGATACAGCTTTGCTTTTGTTGCTGCTACATGTTTTTTCTCTCTGTTCGCATTAAATTACTTTGAAAACTTCCATGTAAGGAAACTGTTTAAGTTCCTGCTCCTCAGAAATGAACATAACAGGAGGGTTAAAAAACTGAAAACAGAAGAAGACATGGTTCCTTGAAGAACACCAGCCACAGGAAAAACATAACCTCCACCTGGTAAAGTGTTTTCATATCCAACATTTTGGATAATGGGACTTGTGGCAATGAAAAACTGGTCTGGTACCTCTGTGAGCTTCCTACTGGTCGGCTCTGGATCTATGGAAAGACAACGTCCTGCTCCGCTGAGGACACTTCTCTGTCCACAAACATCTTCTGTTCTGAGGGAGACTTCCTGTGAAAGGAGAAGCAGACTCACAGAAATAAGAGAAACAAGACAAACATCTAAAGAGACGTTTTTGTTTTGCACATTCAGAAGTTTTATTTAAATTATTAAAAAGAGGCTGATCATTATTTTAATTTTAGAGATAAAGTTCAGGTTGAGATGACATCGATTGTAAACTYGATAAAATATTATTTATTAGAAATAATGATGGTAAGTTTAAGAATAAAAGTAACATGAATTGATTTTACAGTTTCATAAGGAAGAAGGTATAAAAACAACACACTAGGAGGTTTTTTGTTAAACTGTTAGTTTTTTTTTAAACAAATGAATCAGTGACAATGTCGTCCCTTAAAACAAACCTGAAGATTTAACTGTTTTATTTACTTTGGGACATATTCGTCACAGGTTCGTCGCCGCCGCTGGGTAAAGCCTTGCGAAGCGTCCAAGAGTCATGATGGGGAAGACATTTTTGTWGGAGGCGTAGTGGATGCCACAGTTCTTGTTGAACACGCCTGTGATGTTTCCCTGAAAGGCAGGAAGATTAAATCAGTCTTTGTTGCTGTGGAAGGACTGATGGGGTTAAAGCTGGTAACTGACCTGAGGCCAGTCTCCGTTCAGCAGCTGCTTGTCAATCAACAGCTGAACTCCTCTCTCGACGGCCTGCTGCTCAGGATGTCTGTTTCAACACAAGAGGTTAGATGTTGGTTTCATTTGTTGACTCCTGAGCCAAAGCCAGCCTGGACAGAGTGTGACAGGAAGCAGGTGTTGGTACGACGCCCAAAGCTTCACCTGACAGCCATGAGTCCCAGCAAAGCCCAGCAGGTGTTGTGGATCTGAGCGGTGCTGCTCTGGATGTAGCGGCGCTGCTCACACGACTCAAAGTCCTCCCCCCAGCCTCCGTCTGACCTCTGCCTCTCCAACAGGAAGCCACARGCTTTCTGCACCTCCTCAGGCACCTCCCTGCTTACAGAGAGAGGATCAGACTCCTTCAGTGTGTTTGCTTCAGGAGAACCCAGACGTTCTYCAACACGTTCTCTGCTGCTCTTACTCATTCTGGTAAGTGTGACCCATGCAGGCGAAGGCTTCCAGGCCGAACCAGGTTCCGTACGTGAAGCAGACCCCCCAGGACCTGAGGAGGAGGGGAGCAGGACTCATGAGACCTGTTAGTTATCAGGGGGTAAAACACAGAGCCACTCACCCTTCCCAGGATCCATCAGGTCTCTGCACCCTCCTGCAGAACTCCAGACCTTCTCTCAGAGTGCAGCTGGAGGAAAATAAATCATTTTCTTAAACTGTAAGAGGGACTCTGAAACCCTGTGTGTCGTGTACCTGATCTCCTCAGAGCGATGATCAGGGTAGGACTTYTGGAAGTGACTCAACGCCTGCATCACTGATGAGGTACACTCCACGTAGGTGTAATCTATCATGATGTCACCTGGTGCAGAGTTTTACAGGTTTGTTTTCTTGAGAACAGTTTCAACGGCAGTAAAGCTTTCAAGTTAAATGTTAGTTTTGACTCACCGAACACCTCAGAGGGGTTGAGCATCTCCAGCAGTCTTCCTCCTCTTGTAGTTTCATACGTAGCAAATCCACCATCTTTGTTTCTCATGCTCAGCAGCTGCGTAACAAAAACAACCGTAAAGGTTTTAACTCAGTCAGGAGCTGAGGCGTCAGTTTTTCTGAGGACAGATTCAGAAACCTCACCACGTTGACGGCATCGTACAGACGTTCGGAGGCGACAGGCTGCCTGATGCAGGGACAGAGCTCCTCCAGCAGCATCACTGACTTCAGGCCTTCGGCTGTGCAGTCGGCCACAATCCAGCCGCAGTCACGAGTGCTGAAGGGGAATCCTCCCTGATGTGAACACATATGAGGCATGTGCTCCAAAATACCAAAAACTGTGAATATTTCTATTTTTGTTGCATATCTTTGTGTACCGTGGCTAAAATGTACCTTGCTTATCTGTCTGTAGTATTTCTGGTAATCTGGATACTCCTCAGCTATCTGCATGAATGAAAATCATCGTTATTCATCAAATATTTAATTTTTTTTATATTTCCCTCTTTGAGATGAGATACGTGTGCTCTACCTGTGTATTTGTGATAAAGAGATGCGCCTTACGAAGATGCTCAGAGTATTTGGGGTCATTCTGAGCTCCAGCCTGAAAAAAAAGAGATGAACACTGAAACCATTTGAACAACAAGAGGGAAACAAACAGTTATTTTATTACCTCAAGAAAAGCCTGAGCTGCAAAACAAGTGTCCCAGAGCTGAGATCCGTCCATAGCCTCGATGGAAGAAAACTGACGTTAGRTGTTAATAAACAAGGAAACGTTCCTGAAAGAAAGGCTTGTCACTCGTTGCCTCGAATGCCAATAAAATGATAAATGAATGCCTGGGTTATGTGTTTGGGATGACTCTCAGCTACTACTATCTGTAAAATGGACTCAGTTATAACTATTTGWTGGATAAGTTTGGTTAGCTGTGGCGGCCATCTTGAATCAGGCTCCAAAGTCTAATCAGGTTTAAACAACAATCAGCATAAAGCTAATTTGGTAGCAAAACATATTTCAGCCCCGTAAGGCAAGTACTTGATAARTACATGGGTACATACCTGGTATTTGACAAGTACTTACTAGTTACCTATTGAATCTGTACCAGTTACTTAACAAAGTACATTCACRCATACCTGGTACTTACTTATTTGTACATATCAGTTTTTTAYGGGTACATATTTACAGGTGAGTACTGAGTATGTAATTGGTATTCTCCTAGTAATTACCAGGTATCTCAGTGGGGTACGTACCTGTTATGTACTACATACCTACAGGTACTGGGCTGTATTATAAAGTGTCTTGTCACCCTGTACATTCTTGGTACAGTCCAGTACTTAGTATGTTCCAGAAAGTACTGGGTACATGCCAGGCTGTACTGCTTCTGCAAATTCTTACCTGCATTTTCAGGCCATCCAGTCCCATCCTGGAACACAGTAAATGTACTTAGTTCAATCATTTTTCAGTACTTATATCAGTACTTATACAAAGTTGTTTAAAGTGTTAGGAGTTTGTTACAGAATTACATCTTGTTTTCACAGATCGCTCTTTAAAATGTCACCAAAGTCCTTCCTGTTTGTACCAGCCAGTTGAACTGAAACAAATACTTGAATTTAAAAACAGTTTTTTACTAGAGACAGTCTGACTGACCAGATGTGGTTGGGGACCCTGGAGACGTGATCCTGAAAAGCTGCAGAGGAGGGACCGCCCTTGTACCACTGAACCAACATGTTGAGAAGCTTAGAGACCTACAAGAAATGACAAACTCATCAAGTTTAAACACAGAAGAGTTGAGGATTAGTTTCTTGGGTCTTCTCTGGGTTTTGTTGTCTTATTACGATGTTTTATTACCAGTCCAACATTGATACATTTGCTGAAGCGATCGTCTGCCTGGATGTGCTCATACAGCTCTTTGACAGCCTTTTTTCTCAGCGCGGCACTGTGGTGAGCTTCGTACACGTTCAACACCTCTGCAGCATCACAAGAACAGAATCACAGAGTCTCTTATGGGTTTTCTTCAATGGTAGGAGATGTTCTTGTGATCTTTTAAAGTGGCCTTGATCAATGCTTTGGAAACTTTCTGAAAGTGTCAGCTGAGTGGAAATGCAGCTAATGACCAACAAAATGCTTCTAAAACTGCTCAAGACCACTTTGCTGGGATAAAAGGAGCGGTTGGCTCCAATAACAACACATTATCAAGACTTTTGCACTCTGCATGTTGCCCAACACTTACTGTAGAGGATGTTTAGCAGCGTACTGTGAGGCGTGTACAGGTCACACTCTGCCACGTTATTCCTCTGAGCGGGCCAGTTAATGATGTCGTAGTCCTGAACGTACAGCTCCTGAAAGACAACCAGCCAAAAATAAACTTCCATATGAAGTATTCGATATGAAGAGATGATCATCATAAACATATTAATCTTGTATCTTTGCAAAGTTTCATTATATAATTTGAAATTAAACCACATTTGTAAGAAAAATTCACTTGTGCCCATGAGAAATTGCCAAATCTTCTTTGCCAAACAGTTTATTTCAACATCAACTCATTGGATGATGAAAGCTTTAAGAAACAAAAAAATACTGGCAATTTACCAATTTATGTATTTAACAAACAGGGGCCTCAGTAGCATGTGGAAGAACCATACACAGCCACAGAGAAAATATGGTTTTGTTGCCTTAGGACAGTGGTGTCCAAAGTCAGTCATCAAGGGCCGGTGTCCTGCATGTTTTAGGTACTGCCCTTGTTCAACACAGCTGAACCTAAGGAGTGCTCAAATAGTAGGCCTCCTCAGTATGCAATCAAGATCTGCAGAGGCCTACTAATCAGGCACTCATTAGATTCAGCAGTGTTGAACCAGGGCAGCTCTTAAAACATGCAGAACTCATTGGACACCACTGAATTAGGAGCTGTGGAGCCATGTGATTCTACAGAGGTATACAAAATCAGATCCTTACTTTTAAATTTTTTGATTTGTTTCAGGGACACTCCTACTAAAGTTATCTTTATATTACAATCATGGCCCCCTCTTGTGGTTTAGCACCTGTCTGAGGCTGAGAATCAGAGGGTCTTCCTCTGCGCTCAGTCGAACAGCATAGCAGAAGCCCATGGATAAATAGACCTGCCTGCAGTGACACCACAGGACAGAGGGGTGGGCTGGTACCCAGGTGGGCAGCAACCTGAAAAACATAAAATACATGACCACGCCTTGAATCTGTAGAGATGGAAACACGTTCACCTAATATTTAGAACATTAATACTCCATAAACTCACCACATCTCTGGGAATAAAGTGTTCATGCCCTCCCAGCTGTAGACGTTTAGTACAGCGAGCCAGAATTTACCCCATGAAGGAATCCCAACTGCACCACCTTCAACAGATCAGACCTGTAACTGCATGTATTTTTACCAAATCCAGTTTCAATGTTGTACAAGTGCAGAAAAAACTAAAGCAACTGGCCTTGGCACAAAGAATAACACTCCTCGAGAAGATAAAGACTAATATAAAGGGTGACAGGTAGTCACAGGGCTGTTTGGTATGGCTGCATGTACCACACTGAAGATGGAGTTTTTCTTCTCAACCAAACCTTTTCTGTGCAGGTTGTCCCGAGCGCAAACTAAACCTGGATCATCAGGATCCACCCCCAGGATCCTCAAAGCAATGTAGTTCAGCGCCGTTCCGAACACGGTAGATTTATCTTCTATGTGCCTGGAAACAAGCCACGGATTAGCAAACACTGAGGCCATTATCTACTAACGTCATGTCCAACAAGCTAGCCTGGTTGATGAAAGACATGGACTTACAGACCCCAGCCGCCATCTGGCAGCTGAACGGAGCGTTGGTACCTCACCATCTCCTTCTTCCAGGCCTCTGGCAGCTGGATCTTTGTCAGGTGACACACGATAAGGAAACCTGGAGATATAGAGTCAGACGAACCACCGTATTCACAAAAATGTCCGTATAAAAACAGTTAGAGCTCATTCAAACCAACTGCCGTGGATGTTTTCTAATATTTTCAAGACATGACAGAATTAAAAATATTTTAGGGACGTGCGATGTTCTTTAAAATGTCAGAGTAGAAGTGCAGGTGTGGAACTCATCGGGTTGATTTACTTGGGAGAGTGAAGAGGGGTCCGGTGTACTCCATGGGCCAGTGACCGTCCTCGGCCTGGAGGTGGCTGAAGAAGTTCATGCCTTTCATGTAAGCATCGGAGGAAGTCTGGGCAGCTGGAGAGTCAGGCACAAACTTACTCTGTGGAGAGAGTTATAAATGACGAGTGGTGCTCGTACAACAGTTCAACACTGGCCGAATGACTTCGCTGGCTGCACCTGTGAAGGTGATGGTTGGTTAGGCCCTACACTGGTTGGAATCATTTCGATGGGAGACAAGGAGGCGGTCCAGATTTTAAAGACTTGGTGCTCAGACAACAATTTTGCACTGAACGTCATGAAAATGAAGGGGATCATCGTGCACTTCAGGAAGCATAGAACTGATCTGGCACACCTCTGTCAATGACGAGTGTGTGGAGAGGTCACATGTTAAGTTTATGACCTCTCTTGAACAAATAACATCACAGATGTCATCAAGAAGGCCCAGCAGCAACTGTCCTCCCTCAGGAAGAACCGTCCTCTGCTGTCTCTGCAGACAGAACCTCTCCATGGTTCCCAACTGTTCGAACTAAATCAGTCAAAACCAGAACCAACAGACTGAAACAGTTTCCTGCCCAGGGCCATGACCTCTCTGAACTCTCTTATCTCRCTTGGACATCTGCTGTTGTTCAGTCTCTGTTCCACTGAGCAGTGTGCAATATTCATTGTTTATTCTATTGTTTTTATGATATTAATAAATGAGTTAAACTCTCAACATCATGCTCAGTCTCTGTTTTAAGTTGTGGTCCAAAGACCTCAGTCAAATCATGCCCTCACTTTGTAACCAGTGGTAAGAATGTTATAATTTTGTACGTCCCTCTGTCCCTGAAATATCAGCTCTACGTGATGGAATCAAACAAGAAGTGAAACAACTCGTCACAGTTTTGAAGTTTCAGTATCACAGCAGACAACAATAAAATACCTACAGTGTCCAAGCCGACGCAATGAGCTTCCAGCATGGTCTGCTCTCTGACAGGGGTGTCCTCGTCCTCCATGTAGTCCCAGGTCTGCCTGCCCTCCACAGAGGTCAGCCTCCAGCGGCTCAGGTCTGTGGCCGGTTCGGTTCTATACGGTCCACCTCGCCTCTGCACGGGCCTGCCACAGAGAGGAAGAACCGTGCCACGTAAAGAACTGAAGACACWTTTTTACATGGTTTGTTAATAAATGCAAAAGAGAAACACTTACATTTCCRTGGTCATTGTTGGGTGTGATAAATCCAGAGTTGGTTCAAAGTTGATGCAAAACAGATTTCAGCATCTCTTTGCAAATAGTTTGACGGGACACRAAGATGAATAAAACCTTAAAGTGAGGAGTCCTTCAGTGCAGGAAAAGGACTTTTTGTTTTACAGGTCTGTATCTGCAGAGTTCCACTCAGCTTCAGCTCTGTCTGTCTGAAGATCTTTGAACTATTGACTTTTGTCAYATCTTCTCAATCTGTTCTGATCAATGGAGGGAAACAGTCCTAAAGTCCTCACTCAACCTAAACACACATTTCAAAGTAAGACTTTACACCAACAGATTCGTAAAGAAAATCCTTTGGTGTTTTGGAGTTTAGAACCAAGATAACATGAAGATCTGCTGAGGCAGCAGAGATGTCAACAAAAAAACATCTGTGAACCTAAAACCCCAGAGAGGGGGCCAAAAGGCCTCTTCTGCTCCAGATTTCAAGATTCTTAACAGTTATATACTTTAACATCAAAACCTGATCAAAGACAACATGAAAAGGTCAAGGAAGAGTTTGATTTAGTAAAGTTCAGATCTATGGTATAAAAAACTGAACTGAAGGACCAACCCTGTTTCCAAGAATGAAACGAGCTGACTACTTTTTTACTTTATCYTCAGACGTAAAATGCTGCCTGTGATGCCAAGTACCACCTACTGTGGTGTGGTTCCAGAGATCAACAAACTCACTGATAAGGCCAGAAAAATCACTGACTGGACTTGGAAACAATATACCCAGACTCATTTCTCTGTAGGTACTTGATTGTGGCTGCCTCGTCATTCCAAGGTATTCATACAGCTTGGTGCCATATGTGTGGAGGACTGGTCCGCTTTGAAACTGGTATCCGGTCTCTCTGTGATGATCTGGGGGTTACATTGAGTCATAGGCCTTCCTGTATTCAATCCAATCAGTGAACAGGTTTGTGAGTCTGGTTTAAAAGYCTTGAACTACGATTCTGTTGACCAGTAATTGGTGCTTGGTCCAATTGGTGTTGGTGTCACTTCCCTTCTGGGCCTCGCTCAGGTATTGATGTGCCAATTTTAGCTGCTATGATGCCTGACAAGAGCTTCCATGTTGTCCAGAGGCATGTGATTGGCTGGTAGTTGGATTGAATCACCTCTTTCTGGAGGATTTTCATGATCAAACCTGTCCTGTCATGGGTTTGAGTCAAAAGTCTCTGGACAGTTTTATTTATGAAACAAAAGGGAAAATAAAATTTCTTAATACCCCAGTAAGTGATGGGTGAGGGGAGCTATCTTAAGGTCGCCATCTTGAAAGCTGCCATATTGGCTCAAAGCCGATGAGAAGGTGATCAAGATGGGCCGTAATTGTCTCAGAAAGCAATTGCTGCAGATATTTGCAATWGCTCAAGTTTTAAAGACAGAAAACTGCAACATCTGGGAGCATTACCGGATGTGTTCAGTGTGCATGGTGCTGAACACAGATTCACTTAAATTTTCCTTTCGTTCTTGAATCAAAAGTGTGTCCTGAGACTTTTGACTCACCTTGTGCCCTGTATATTATTTTTGACAATCAATTAAAAAGCAAAGGAGGTGTAATAAAAATCACTGTATTGTTTTTATTTCCAACATTCTTTTTGACGTTAGCACTGCATGAAGTTTATGAAGAAATATGAAYAAATTGACTGTTGGCTCATTCAAATTGCAAAAAGAAGTGTATCAGGTAACGTGGACTTTTATTTCCCTGACAGATCTTCACAGCATTTGTCTGTTTTAATTAGAAAGAATCAAAGCTTGTGTTTGTGATTTACATTCTTTAAATCAGAAACCCTAATGAGAGGTGGCTGATGCACTCGACTCGTCACGGCTGCAGCTGCCCAGCCAGCGGACTGCTTGGGTAAAGCTTCAGGAGGCGACCGATGGTCCAGATGGGGAAGCTGTTTTTATAGGAGGAATAATGTCCTGATGCATCTCAGTAATCCAGGTAAAAAATCAAAAAGAAAAAAATAGTATAGGTCATCTGGACGGGTT